ACTAACAATATTGATAATTTCATGTTCTTCTACTGCTCTTAAAAAATTTTGCTTGGATTTCAATCCCTACATTAACAGCCATCTCCCCTCTTTTGGTTGGGTGTCATTGAGTTCTGTCAATTTTGGTCACACACTTCTCTTCATCATTCAATTTTACAATTTAATCATTGTCAATAAAATATTGAGGGTGACTCGTGTTGGTCGGTCCATTCCTAATAATGATATTTAATACAATATAATTCTTTAAAAATTCTTTATTTTCTTTTTTGCAATAATTTCTAGTACCTTTGGGATCCATCTGTGAAAGATAATTATTTTTTACTTCATTTATTAATTACTTTCTGCAGCCTGTTGCCTTGAAGAGGGTTGGAGCAGAGAGTACAGGTGCCATTTGGTGTGAGGAAAGTCTTCACATCAACCAGGTAGGCTCCTTTACGCCGCATGGTGACCACATCAAAGCCCTCCCCCACCAGATTGTGGCCTGGTACAAAGGGAGCAGATTCACACTGGCTGCCCGTCCCAGTCTGACAGGAGAGAACAGGGGAGTGATAAGACAGAAAGAAGAGGAGACTCAGACAGAGAAGGGTTGGGGTTGAAGAGGAGAGCATGACTGGAGCCAAAGAGGCACTGAAGCATTTAAGAGAAAGACAAAGAGAGTAAATGAGAATAGTTTTAGTATCATTTCTGCTCATTATTAGTAAAGGTAACAAGAAGTACAAATGTTTGCAAACAGACTGTGCATCCTACCATTTGTTCTGTCTTAAGAAGAAAGTATCTAGATTAGCTAATTTTATTTGTTGCTTTTTGTTACTTTACCATGACTAAGAATTATCCATTCTGATTGGCTGGAATGTGTGAATTAACTTTTAGTAACTGGACAGTTTAATTGGACACCTGTGTGGTACATGTTTGATTGCATTTATAAATGAATGAGCTTATTAAATGTAATTGGTATTTGGCAATTGGTGTTAGGGTTATTTGTGTAACCATTTACAACAACTGAACCATGCATTTGTAATTACAAATGTGTTTGATACTCACATGAATCTGGCAACAGCAACAAGTAATAACCTAACAATTAAGATAGGCTTTGTCAATGGCAAAAAAAAATCCCAAAACAATTAAAACTGCAATCAGTGTCGAACAGCAGGCAGGAACTTGTGAGCTTGTGGTTATGACAGTCAACAACGATGGTCACTCTACAATGCATTGCAGTTATGAATTTGGTGTACAAAATTACTGTACATCCATGGTTAGGTGGCAGTAATGTTCTACTAAAAAATCTCATTGATAGCTTGATATTTCACTTAACATCTCATATAACTAATTGTAGTTAAAATATACTTAGATTGCTGTACTGTTCAGCTAATGTGTGATTTCTTATTTATTTGTTTTTTTTTAAATCTGTAAATACATGGAAAATAGCTGTTTTTGCGAGATATTCTGGTGATTTGTAAAAGCCTACAACTCCATGATAGTTTTTTCTGAAAGTGTCCTTATCCGCACATAGTTCAACAAGTACTACTCTGTTTAACTGTATGTAAAGACTTCTGATACCATTGCCTCCGCCGATGCATTGGTAAAACGGCCGTCAGTAAAATCCATGCTGCAGACTGGATATAAGACGGTTGCAGGTGAATCTTCTATGCTTTCATAAAGTAGATATTTAATATTCATGAAGTATTAATATTTGACAGCACAAAACCAAGTTGGCTTTTGTGCATATTGGCTTACTGTGTGGCCTAGGGCAGTGGTTCTCAAAGTGAAATCTGGGGACCCCCACAGGTCCTTGAGGGTGTTCCAGGGGTCCACAGCAAAAGGCTGTTTTGGTCATGGGTTTAAAATATCTTAAAGCAAACATCCTCTCAGAGGGCGCGACCCTGGGACAAAATTGTTGTCAGTTTATGGGTCCTTGACGTCATAATGTTTGAGAACATTATATTTTGAACTTACCTAAGAACAAGTGGGAAGTATGGAAATATTGATGAATGCTACAAATTGTACGCACACACAGTTTGAGATCAGGGCCGGTATTTATCAGGCTTCTCAAAGTGCCATCATGAAATTTACTCCTACTTTTAAACTTAAGAATAAAAGCAAGTTATCAAATTTCTCAAAGCTAAGAATCACTCTTACTCTCCCAGTTATTTAAGACAGTTCGAGAGGTCTCTCAAGTAGTTAGGAGCTGCCAGTAGGGGCCCGTATTTATCAAGCTTCTCAGAATTACTCATAAGAACACTGCTAAGAATTGACTTAAGTGTAAAAACATATTGGCTCAAAGCTGTGCTAAAAGTTAGTTATCATGCATCATAGTCCTAATTTGAGTGAAGTGTAGGACTAAATCATAAGTGTCAGGCTTAGTGCTGATTCACGACACTTTGCTGTGCCGCAAACAGGATTTTGGATGACGATGTAGGCAAGGACCAATCACTGAGTAGATTTCCTTATTTAAGAATATTCTCATAAATTCACATTGAATGGTGAAATTCCTAAGAGGAGTTTACGTTCAACAGACATTTGACGATTAGGAATTTTTAAGAGAGTACATTCTGTACATCGGCTACGTACATATGAAAGATAAAAAAGTTGATCTTTATTTGCATGAATTGTGTTTGCTTCTGTTGGATTACAGGGGGTGTTGTTGGGAACTTGATGAAAGGGGCTGTAAGTGCCATAATTGTTTCCACGACAATTCGGCTTATTGATGGTTTTGATGGGCCAAAATCATTAGCATTGCTGCATCATTCCTGTGGCAAATAAACAAAGCGTCATCACAACCTTCAATTTAGCTGCATAAAGTCAGTGGTGAGATGACGTCCCTCACCAGCTTGCTGACAAAGGTTATGCCTCCTCTGTCCGACCCCAACCAATTAAGTGTGCGTCGTCAAATAATTCAGAAAAATTCTTCCTCTCCTGAAATATTCGCGCATGTGTCTGTCTCAACAGTGCCATCACAAGTAGGGCTGCAACTAATGACTATTTTCGTAGTCGACTAATCTGTTAATTATTTATTCGATTAGTCGACTATTTCACGATTATTTTTGTCACCCCTTAACCCTAATTAAACCATTTAACTAATTAAATATCTTTCAAGTGAATTACTGATCTCCAACACACAGCCTAACTACCTAACGTTTCCATTAAGTGAACAAAGTTTACTGTTCTGTTGCTCTCCACTTCTTCCATGTAGATGTTTGCCACAATCGGGGATACCGGTGAGCCCATGGCACAGCCGTGCTTCTGTCTGTGGAATCCTCCATTGTATTGGAAGTAGGTGGTGTTTAGACAGAGGTCGAGTAATTTACAGATCTGTTTCAGGGCTGAGGCTAGTTCTGTTGTCCAGGGTGTTGTCCTGTGTTAGCCGTTTCCTTACGGTCTCTACTGCTTCTATGGTGGGGATGCAGGTGAACAAATAAGTCACGTCATAGGATACCATGGTTTCATCTGGATCCAGTTTTAGTCCTCAAACTTTGTTTACAAAGTTAATGGAGTTTTGGTTGTGGTGAGGCGTGTTTCCCACCAAAGGAGCTAAGATGGTAGAAATGTGTTTGGCAATGTTGTAGGTGACCGAGATAATGCTGCTGATAATCATCCTGAGTGGGGCTCCTTCTTTGTGTATCTTGGGTAGTCCATAAATGCATGGAATGCCTTCTCCAGGATACAAACGGTAATATTGTTCACGGGTGATGGTGTTGTCCTTTTGTAGATGTTGTAGACATTCTATGGCCTTTTTCTTGTATCCGCTGGTTGGGTCTCATCTCAGTGTCTCATATGTGTTTGTGTCCATTTAGTAGTGTGTTGACCTTGTTCTGGTAGTCCGCTGTGTTAAGGACTACCGTGCATCTTCCTTTGTCAGCAGGTAGGATAGTGATGTTTTGATCCTTGAGATGTCACAGCCTTCCTTTCTTGGATGGTGAGGTTGGAAGGGGGGGCCTTTTTATTAGAAAGGGCTGCAGATACCTTTAGTCTGAGCTGTTTTGCTTCTGTTTCTTTTTATTTGTTTTTTCTAATTGCCGATTCTGTGGCTGTGATGAGGTCCACTATAGGTAGCTGCTGTGGTGTAATGGCAAAAGCTTAATCCTTTGGCCAGAACGTCTTTCTCTGGTTGGGTGAGTTCCCTATCTGACAGATTTTTCACCCATGTGTTGTCTGTTTCATGGGTTGTGCAGTTGTTGTCCTTTGTCCTCCAAGACAATTCTCCTGTTTTGTTAGTGCAGCTTGCTCTGGACTGTAGGTTTTGGAATTTCCGGGTCTGTCTTTCATTGCTCTTGTTGTGCTGAGATAGCTGTGCTTTCTTGATGAAATCCATGACCTCTTCCATTGCTGTACTGGGCAGATATGTTTCTAGTTTGTGGTGTATGTTGTCCAATTCTTTGTTCAGGGCTTCAATTGTGAAATGTATCTGTCTCACTCTCTCATTGAGTAGCTGGTGTTGCGCTTTCTCCAGGATTATTCCAGCTCTGTGTCCTTTTACCGTGGAGCCTAAGTTTAGGCTGTTGGGAATAAGTTTGTATTGTCGGCATCAGGTTAAATCGTAGATGGTTCCTGTAGTCTGCAATTTTCCTGGCTGTCCTTTCATTCTCCTGTACCAATCTGAGGGTGTTCATCCCAAAATGATTAGCAAGACAAAATAGTCTTCCAGTATCTTCAACCAAGTCCAGTTGCCCTTGACTTGGATAACAGGGACAGACAGTGTAGGCTACTCCTATAATTCACTGTTTTATACAAACTTTAAAAGTTTTAACTGTTTAACAAAGATTTTTGCTTTGGAACTATATAAAATAAAAGCAAATTTAAGAAATAAAAGTACTAAAACCACAACTGTACACTAACAATGTAATGTCTATTTAGAACAATAAAGCAACAGTCCCCTTTCATACTACTACATAGAATGGGGGTGTGGTTAATAGTTGGACGTAATACATTACCATGACAACCAAAAACTAAATATAAAACAAATATGCTGTGTTAACATCACTACACTGTAAAGTTTAGTACACTTTTATGGTGATTTCAGACCAACTGCAAATTTTTGCCTCGCGACACTTTCCTCGCGTATGTACATTCGCTGCAAGTGTTCACACACAATGTGAGAAGGCGATTTTAACGCGATAACATGAATAAACACAACTCGCAATTACTACAACTGTATGAACCCAAAGTAAACATTTCGCTGTGATTAAATAGCAATAAACGGATTAAACTGATGGCAAAATAACTACAACATGATGCAGATTTGTTAAACATATGAATTCATGCTTTGTCAGGTCTGTCAGCAAGACAGCAGGACAACAACTTCTAAAATGTTTGTTTTCTGAATGGAGTTTGGATCGATCAGGGCTATGCTATGCTAACTTGGTCATAGTAAAGTACAATGATAGCTGGAATAAAGTTACGGACACATGTTTTCTGAACTCACCAGGTAGTTCTATCCCCTCGCTTTCTTTTCTCCAAGTAATGTCCAGTTTTGTCCGGTTTGTAAGTATGAAGTTGTAGTCCGACAGAGCTAACGACGCTAACAACAACACTGGAACCGGATGTGCATGGAAGCTAGCTGCTGAGACGTTCCAGTGAAGAGAAATCAACGTTGTCCCAAACACTAAAAAAGATAATTTAATAAAAGCAGTTAAAGAGGTGGTATTATGATTTTTGGCTTTATTGAGTTATATATCTTTTTTGTGCATGTGAAAAAGTACAAAGTCCAGCCCAAAGGGAGTTCCCATCTCCCACAGAAAGCTCTGCTCTGAACCGCTTGAAAACAGCTCGTTTGTAGTCCAGCCCTTCACTTCCTTTACTTGTGACATCACAATGAAAACTCGTCATAAAGCTTGCCAAGCAGCTAGCGGGGTCAGGCACGCCCTCAAACCAAGCTAGTCTGAGCGGAGGCCCTTTGGCTCGACTCGCCTTTGTTTGGGTTTCCATTGTAGAAATGTTGTACCTGTACCTGCTTCCAGGTACTTTTTTTTTTAATCACCTCACCTTCGTCGAGGTTCCAAGCGAGCTGAGGGATACTAAAATGTAACGACAGACTGCTGATTGGTCAGAGAGACTACTGCATCATCATTTCGTGTGCCAGACAGAGGCCAGCAACTTAAAGTTTTACAGTTTCCGTAAGGAATTTCATCACTAAATCCACTTCTGAGAAGTTTTTCGGTGAGAAATCAGCTGTGTAGATTCCAAATATTGACAGTTTTACGAGAAGTGATGGCGGAACAAAAATGCTTTAATATTTTCGTAGTTGAGGAGCTCCGCAAGTGGTGCCCTGGGGATGCCTGTGCCAACCCGTGGGAGGAGCGTGTGAGGCCGGCCAGCTGCCTGCTCACAGAGCCCTCTGCTCCCGCCGTCACACAGACCGCTGCAGCAACAACGGCAGAGGAAAACACAGCTGGAAGGTTTTCATATCGCTTATCTGTCTTTACATTCTGAGGAATGTTGAAATGTTTTAACTGTAGATATATTTTAAGAGCTGGTGTGTGTGTCGCATTTAAAATTATGTCACGGCAGTTGTGTGTGGTGTCGCTGTGACAACAAGCTACGTACTATCTCTGGGTACTATCTGCAATGGAAAACGTAGCAGGGCTGAGTAGAGTCGAGTCTATCGATTTGCGTCAAGGCAGCATAGATCATCAGAACACCGGCAACAGTTCAACGTTTAGTCCTGATGGTAAGATGTGGAACAATGATGTTGTGTGATTGTGGACTTGGGAGTAACTTATACCATCTGCTAGGTTATGGTCGCAGTCTGAAGCGGCTAGCTACACCTGGCTAACTACAACTTAGTTAACTTAGCTAACTAAACTAGTAAGACAAACCAACAATCAGTCACAGAGACATACCTACTGTAAGTTCTAAGTAAATTACATGATAAACTGATTAGCTAGCTCACAACGATGTTTATCAGTTTGATGCTCTGACAAGGCGTTTTCTTCTTCTTCTTCTTCTCTGGGTTTTATGGCGGGTTGCAACCAACTTGTATTTAATGAGACGTGACGTTTTTTAAAGAGGCATGACAGTGCGCCTGCGCAAGCTTGGAGAATGACGTATGATTTATGCCGCATTTGAGACCGGTCGGAACTGTAATATTTCCCA